CGCGGGAACCCTGGACCAATGAGCAAAACTGACTGTGACATAGGAAGCACGACAGAAAGCTGGTGGGGGAGTTTAAACAAACAGCCTGTCGGTAAAACGGCAAATACGTCCTTCTTAAAAATTAATAAGCGTAGAGCCTCTTCCTGTTCCCGTTTCAACGAAAACCCCAAGTCTAATCCTTCCAAAACTGATTCCAAAGCTGAGTCAAACGAGAACTGTTCAATAGATGTTGCCATCTTCCTTGCTGTGCTTTCTCCAACATCGTGCACCTTTGTTGTCATGCCTTACAAATGCCACCCACTTCGCATCCAGAAATTCAAAACACATCTCTGCGTTATGATTGGCCCGTCAGTTCAAGGGCCTGGGGCATTGATCGAGGCTAGACCAACTCGCAGGTAAAAATGATTTTGGCCGCTAGCGGGTGAGGCTAGTTTACCAGGCTAATGTTTTTGGTCTAAAGGCTGATTTATACTCAGAAACCAGGTCGTCTGCTTGTGTGTCGCAGTGAACGAAAATTTGCCCACACCCCTTCCGCAGACACTCTGCTGCACCTCTCCAAAATTGTATGTGACTCCAGACAGGAGGCCTCTGATTGGTCAAATCTACACTATGCGTATTTAACGTTTGGTACCTTACCGGCTTGTTTTGTTTGTATGACCGCCATTGTAGAAAATGACTCTTGAAGATGGAAAAGCTAGAAGAGGAAGATGCGCAGCATATGACGTACTAACAGAGCGTCAACGAAAACACAACCACAAGCCAGGCTAACTCCAAAACCAGTCGGGAGAAGAGCAAAAACATCTTTTCCTCTGAGAAAAGCCTCAACAAACAACCAACCAAATTAAACAAAATATGGCGACTAGGGTTTTATTACAATATTGCTTCACACTATAAGAACAAACATGTACTGTAGATGTTTCTCTCTAGGGTTTCAATTTCCCCATAAGCTTGATTTTCCAGAGTATATTGTTGTAGGACTTTTCGATGAAGAAGTTCTTACTTCTACTATCAGGTATGGATCTGCGAGCTACTGTAGCAGCTACACTTTTTCCCCGTCTTTGTTGCAGGAAAACCCTCTTAAAGTCCATTACCACCACCTAAAGGCCCAAAGGAAGGATTTACTGTCTTACTCTTGTTAAATGTTATGTGACTAAAATGAAGTACCTCTGAGATTTGAAAATGGCATTTTGCTAAATTGCGATTATATTGAAATTTAATTTAACTGCCTAGCCCAACTTTAAAATTCCCTTGTAGTCACTTTGTATCCATTTGCTAACATCTTGTCTCTTTAACGATGCATCTTGCATACACACCCCTAAAGGGGTTTTAATAACAAGAACCCTTCTTGATGTACATGTAGACAGGCATTAAAAATTCATCCTGAGTTGCCATCCTTTTAGTTTCATATCAACAGATTCTCCAACGTGAGCGGTCGGTCTGTGCTGCTCCTCCCCTGCTCCTCTGATTCTGCCTGACTGGCTGTAGAGTTTAGGTAGGCAGCAATTTCCCGATAGGCTTGCATCTGTTGCAAATCGTTCCACATTATGAGGGTGATCAAAGGGTGTTCTGTGAGCTCTTCAAAGCTGGGTGTGTTGATTTATAATCTAACCCGTCTTTAAAACTCTCAACAGCTTTATTTCTAAACTGCTGGTGTGTGCTCTGGTTTCTATTCTGAATGCTTTCTAACTTTCTCAAAATAAAATAAAAAAAAAATGAAGACACATTCACATAATAGCTTGAATTCATGTAGGGGTATTAGACTAATTGGGGCTGGATGCCCATTGTCACTCACTTTGAATTTTTTTTTTTTTTTTTTATCTTGAAAATCATACATCCCATCATTATTCAATAAAATTCAGCTTTCTTATATAGTGCCAATTCACAACACAAGTCATCTCAAGGCACTTTACAGTTCACCAGATCATACAGTAAAATTGATTCAAAGTTTTCTATCTAAGGAAAACCAGTTGATTGACTCGAATGCAATACCTCACACTAAGCATGCTTGTAGCGACAGTGGAGAGGAAAAACTCCCTTTTAACAGGAAGAAACCTCTAGCATAACCAGACTCAGTGTGAGCGGCCATCTGCCGAGTCCGACTGGGGTTCAAGGAGACAGAAGCAGAGATACAAAAAGCAACTGAACCAGTCCAGGAAACAAACAGCCAGGCAGACGAGCTCCGAGCCAACTGATGAACATCAGGAAATAAATTTTAGAGAGATGTTATCCATATACCGAATGAGACAAAGAAAATGTGGGTAGAACATCTAATAATGAAAAGGGTATTCAACAAGCAGCAAAACAAATATTTACCATTTATTTTTCCTCTCGCTTTGTGCAGGATGTTTCTATTTTAGCAATATTACAGCGGTGAAACCACGATATTTATTTGTATAGTAAATTTAAGAAAAACCTACACTGGCCAAAGTGTTGCACACAAAAACAACATTAATTACAACATAAAGGAAAACACAAACACAGAGTAAAACTGGTTGATTGCATCAACTCATTGACTTGAATGCAATCCTTCACACTACACAAGCTTCTAGCGACAGTGGAGAGGAAAAACTACCTTTTAACAGTAAGTAACCATCTGCTGAGGCCGACTGGGGTTTGAGGAGACAGAAGCAGAGATATAAAAGGCAACCTTAAACCAGCTGGTTTAAAGAGGAAACACACAGCCAGGCAGTGGAGCTCTGAGCCAGCTCCCATTATGGGCTAACAATTCAAATGAAGTAAATGACTTACAGAAAGTGTTTGTTGTGCTTTAATGTTGTCACTCAGATTCATCAACATTTTAAGATGAACTGAACCATTTTTTCCTCCTCATCCATGCTGAAAGGCAGCAAACCACAACAAACCCATCTCTACAATCACTACACTACTGAAACAGTTTCATGCCTTTAATGCAAAGCTTCCCTTTCTAGGTTTAAATGGAGCAGCAGGTCCTGAAGTCCATCTTCTGAGCTGTAACACTCACCTTCTCCTTCCATCTTATCAGGACTCCTGCTCCACACTATCTGCCTGCTGTCCTGTCTGATCTGGAACGTCCTCCTCTCAGGCTTCTGGGACTTCTTCTGGTAGAAGACGGTCATCACGGTTCCCATCTCCAGGCTGCTAAGGATCCGAGCACCAACTTCGGTCCAGTCCAGCATCCTGGAGGCCGTGAGCGGAGCGCAGGCGGCCTCCTCCGTGCAGCCGTTGAGGCAGCCGCTGAACCTGGCTGCGCACATCCTCACTGCATCGCTGGGGTCAGGATCACCGATCTGCTGAGAGGGCTTTAATGATGGGCAGGATCCAGATCCCTCAGCCGATGCACAGAGGAGAACCGCTATCCAGCATATCCACTGCTGCCGGGAGGGAGTCCAGAGATGGAGGAGGAGTGGATCCCTGGGTTATCCTTTCCAGATGCTTCTGGGAGAAGAGCAGTGAAATCCACTCAGGGAGAGCTCTCATCACCGCTGGGCTCAGGTTTCCACCCAGTTTGCGTTTTTTTTTTCCTTTCACTCCTCCAGAGTCCACGACAGCAGGAGGGGGAGCAGCGCAGTCCGGCTGCCGCGGCGCCTCCCGCCGCTAGGGCGACAGACAAGATATGTCTCCAGCTGGAGCCTCAGGGACCGAGTCAGAGGGAGGTGACAGCAACACGAAGCGCATACAGTAGCGTTGGGTTTAAAGTCCTCGGCTCGGTTCTGCTTCCTTCAGCTCCGGCAGCAGAGAGCTGGAAGGAAACCAGACCGGAAAGGCTCGATCAGATTTTTTTCTCTGCTCCTTTCTGAACTACTGGAAGGATCCGAGGGAGAATGGTGGGAGTGAAAGGAGAGCAGAGAGAGAGAGAGAGAGAGAGAGAGAGAGAGAGAGAGAGAGAGAGAGAACGGGGGAGGAGGAAACAGTGACCTCTGCAGGCCGACAGGAGATCAGCAGCTCCGAGGGGGACAGGCAGTGGCGTAACTATCAGTAGGCAGAGACGGCCCCCGACCTCTTAGGGGCCCCATCACTGACATCTGGTTGCCCCCCTACGCATTTATGGACTAGGACGTCTCTTTGCTACGGTGGCCGGGAGGTGCAAACCAACATTACAAAATCTAAAAAACTTTTACAAGTTCCAATACAAATTATCATTTCAGAAATCAAATTTACATTAAAAAAAAAACTTTTACAAGTTTCATTTAAAAATAAAAATAAATAAAACACTTTTAAAAATTCAAAACAAATAGCATTTTTACAAATAAAAAACATTCAAAACACTTTTACAAGTCCCAAAACAAATTATCATTTCAGGAATTCAACCGGAAAGGGTGGGTACTAACTCCGAGGCTGAATCGGTCTTGTGCGAAATTCTGTTTCGCCCTGTGTCGGGAGCTCACATTGCATTGAGAGGCAGATCTGACCATTTTGAAGGTGCTCCTGATTATTTCTCGGTGAAAAGAGCTCATATAATCATGTCAACTTTGTAACATTAAGTTTAATCGGTTGCTCTTTTTACAAATTAGTAAAATAAATACATTTAAGAGGTCTTCTTACGCTGTTTTGAGAATTGGTATTTCTCCAACTTTTGTCCCTTCAGCCTGACAGAAATAAACGTCAGTCACCAAACACAGATTTCCAACAATAGTGTATTTTAAATTTTTCATTGTTGATATAAGAGGATCCACTGGAATTTGTTTCCAAGCTTGTCAGTTTCGCTTGCCATAAAGGAAGCTTTCTCAATTCAAAATGTCAGGAATAGCGTCAGAGGCGGAGCTAGATGGGGGGCCAGGGGTGGCCATGGCCACCCTTAGCCAATCTGTGGCCACCCCTACCATTTTTTCCCCTTCTAATACAGACAGTTGAAGCAGTAATACTCTCAAGTGGAATATTCAAAAGATTTTAGTTTTTTTGTGCTTAATTATACCCATCAATATACTGTAGTAACATCAAAGATGATAAATACAGATTGAATGCTCTTTTCAGAACTACATTTTGTGTTACATATGGTAAAGAGAGAATTATGTGTCTCTGCAAGTCATCTAGGAGTCTTCAGTGAAATCAAAGATAAATAACAATTTTAATAAAAAAAAACTTTTTAAATAATCAATTTATGTAGATATTAGTGCTTCTAAATATCCATTTTATGCAGAATGTTTATTGATACAAGTAGGTAAGTAATGACAATAATGATTGATGTACGCCCAAGGACTCAAAACTGAGTTTTATCCATTATACCTTTTATCTAGAAATTACGGATGTTTAAATATATTTTTCTACTTGTTAGTAAATGCTGTAGGAAAGTGTAGTTTGTCTTAATTTGTGGCAATCCGCTTTTGGCCACCCCTCAGTGTACACTGGTTATTGCCTGGCCACCCTTATAAAAATTCTCTGGCTACGCCTCTGAATAGCGTTGACTTCGAGGTTTTATACAGTGTATAAAACCTCGAAGTCAAGTCGAAGTCGAAGTCTAAGTCACTCAATACTATTCCTGATATTTTTAAGCGAAACATTTTCAAACTTGGATTTAATTTTCCTGTTTTTGGAACTCTATAAACTCATTGGGGTTTTTGTTTATGTCAGCAGGTCCAGTCAAACTCAATTACAAATGTTTCTAAAAAGGAAGACCTGCAGTTCATGTTCCCTTCATCTGAAGGATTATCAGGAACATAAACCAATTAGGGAGGTTACACCAGAAAGGGGTTTAATTCTCATGTGACACAAACATTTACAGAGGTTTATAAATGATTTAAATAGTAGAGTAAACTTTCAGACTGAAAAGAGTGTTCAAAAACAGAAGAAGGCTGGAGCAGGAAATCCATCGAGAGATAGATCCCTTTTGATGAAGAGAGTTTAGAAGAAAGTGGGGGCACTAGGTTTACAAATGATTTGTAAAATCCTTCTTCACCTCTGGTCATGACATTTACAGAAAGAACAACCTCATGGATAAAAGCTTAAACAAGCTTATCTATGGGAGGCCAGTTATCCCCTAAGAGGTACAGTGAGCAGTTGAACCATTCAAGGAGAATCTCAGAGTAGAGCCTCTGTTCCTCCACAACGAGGGGAGTCAGCTGAGGTGGTTTGAGTTTCTGCTCTAGAAGCACACTAGACGCAAGGTATCTCAGGCATGTCTCACAAGGAAAATGCCTTTTGGATGTCCCAAGACAAAATGCAGGGACTAGCAGTCTGCTAACAATAAAAATAAAATATTTGCTTGGTAAACCAAACATTGGAGCCATATTAGCCATAACACTAAAATGTTCTTAATGTATAGTAATAGTACAGGATCATACTGTACCATAAAACAAGAAAAGGGAATTTTGAGGTAATCTGAAAGGATATTGCTTATCAGGGCAAGATGAGTTTTTTTCCTGTTTCCCTTAAAGGGGCTAAAGTTTTTTGTTTTTATCTTAGATCTTTTTTGTGGGGTATTTATTGTTTTATAGGAGTTTAAATGTCTGATCAGATCACTTAAAAAAATCTAATTTTAATCACAATGTGACTTCAATTGCATACTTGGCATATAATGGACATAAATTACTGAAAATCATGAGAAAAATTAAATAATCATGTGTCTTTTAGGGAAAATTAAAAATGTTCAACAGAGCCTAATGTTAATAGAACGCTCCCTGGACAGTCTTTGAAGATTACAGCAATTGAAAAATTTTTAGTAGAGAAAATCTTCTAAAGGTTTTAAATCTTTTACGGTTATTGTCAGAATCCCCTTGGACATCTTTAAAGGAGTTTAAGGTATCAGTCCCTTAATGTTCTCTGACAGTTACATAGTTTAAGACCCAGAAATGAGACATTAGAGACTCTATGGGGAGGATTCTCTGAACAACAATGATCATAAACTGTACTAGATTATAGGGCTTTTCTTAATAGAGTGTGCATGTTCTCCATCTACATGTTTGGGTTCCCTCTTGAACTCATGCATGCATCCATGTCAGATTAATTGGTTATTATTATTAACACTTTTCTTAAAAACATAAAAAATAAAATGTACCTTTTCATACAACTAGCTGTAAGAGTAAAAATATAAATTTCTTAGGACTCCACAGGACAAAAACAATTGGTTTCAGTTACCCCTCCATCTAATTCCTACTCACTTATCCTGAGGGTAAGAGGCTGGGTATATCCTGGACGGGTCACAAGTTCATTCTAGGGCAACATCGAGACACACAACCTTGAAATAACAAATGAACCTTAGAGTCATGTTTTTGGAAGCCTGAGTATAAGCAAAGAACCTGCATAGAGAACATGCAGAAAAACCACAAGTCAGGATTTAAACCCAGGGACATTTTGCTGCAAGGCAACAGTGCAACACATTCTGTGCATTTGCTAGAGCTGCTTTATGACTACAAAGCTTCTTCATTTCACTACTGCTACTTAACTTAAATATGGGTCAGTATGTATATCTCCCAGCATCTAAGCCATTGTGAGAAGGCTATAAAAAAGCAGAAACGTGAAATATGTGAGCGCTAACGGATCCATCTCAGGGGGATGAGACGGTCATGGATGATATCACGTCCTCTCCATGTCTAATCGGCACCATATGTCCACTCAGCCTATCTGAGCTTGTACTGCTGTTGGACAAGCAGGCAACCAATCAGAGTGGATTCCAACTTTTTCTTACAGAGGAAACAACGAGGTGGAGAATATAATGTTGGTGCTGAGAGGGACAAAGGAGGCAGATTTTATCAAGAGCATGATTTCAACACACAGATCTGTTCACCTCTGTCATGAAGCTGATGTTACATTGCACAAAAGTAGAAATGGATGATTCGGATAAATATAATGTGAGATATTAGACTACATTTATCATATTCAAGTTAACAGTAACTTCATCCTACCACCAGAGGGACACAAAGTGCCTTTGGAAAGTTGACAGTTGAAGATGTAGATGAAATTTGAGAGAAAACAGATAAAAATATACAATATTGTCATATAAGATCAAAAACATGATTTCAGAGATTTTCAGAGTTCCTATTTTCAATTCCTCAAGAAATTCAGATTCACTAACTGAAGGAGTTCTTAGTTTCCTGCCTCATGCCCTTTCAAGCAGCTGTTTTGAAACAGTAAATAAATAAAACAGACATAAAAGTCCACAATGAAGTTGTATACTTAGAAGATTTTCATGAACATTTTTTTCAAGGTTTCTCTTAAGATGTCACAACTAAATAAATCGACCTTCTAATTAGGAACAGAGCAATGCAAAGGGTTGGATTTGATGGAAACATCTGAAGTTATTTGTTCTGCTCACTAACCTAAGCTGATCTTCCTTTCTGCATTTATTACAACCTACCTTCATGAGTCACGACACAGCTAAGTTTTTTTGCCCAATATTTTTTTCTTCTTTAATACATAAGTAGCTTTTTCTTTTGTAAAGCTGGTACTGTTTTACCTTCTATTTTTAAGTCGTAGGGAAGTGATATTTGAATGTCAAATAATTCTGGCTTAAACATGTATATAAATGGAATCTTTATCAAACTATATTGCCCCAAAATTTTTGAAAATTTCTATATAAAATTTCCGCTGTCCATAGCATTCCTTGACAGTGTTGTTTCTAAGTCACCAATTTAGTGCTACTTGATCTCAATGTAATTTCTCATTGGGAACCTACTAGCACTAAGTTGCTAACCGGTTAGCAAGATGCTTCCGAGACACCGAACACAACCAAACTTGCTTGCGAACCTACCACCACAAGAATCCCGCCCCCTTGATAAACGACCTATCACATTCACTTTATTCACTCGTGTAAAGTCGGGCAACACTGGGGAGAATTCAGAACTGCAACGGTTGGTACAGCCTTTTCACTACGACTTTAAGCTTTAGACAAAAAGAAGCTGAGTATCTACTTAACTGTTCATTAAAAAGGCCAAGTCGGCCTCGGCAGATGGACGCTCACACTGAAACTGGTTCTGCTGGAGGTTTCTTCCGGTTAGAAGTGAGTTTTTCCTCTCCACTGTTGCTGCAAATATGCTTGGTGTGAGGGATTGCCTTTGAATCAGTGAGTCCATGCAATCAACAGGTTTTCCTTAGCTAGAAAACTTTCAACCAATCTGACTGAATGATCTGGTTCAATTGTCTCTGTAAAATGCTCTGAGAAGACGTCTTCTGAATTTTTGATATATAAATAAACTCATATATAATTGAATTATAAAGAACCCTATATTATAAAATAATGATGCAAAGAAAGAAAATCAACAGAAATGGGTTATTTGTCTTTAGTTGGATCCCTATATTATGGATCCCTTTGTGGGCTGTTGAACTATTCAGATTAACAGCATAAAATCATCCACTGCATCGCTGTTACATTACCAACCAACTCAACGCATGGCCAACCACCTTCATTTTCCGTCCCTGAACACATATGCAAATGACAAAAATATTGAAATACAAATCAGTTATTGATATCCATGAGTAATAATGGCACCTACTGTATTATTATAAATCACTAACATTGACTGATACTGACGTAAATGCAAACATATTGATCTTGACCTGTGAAAAACGAACATCAATCTCAGAAAAAAAATCTTTTGTCAAAACATGTATTTTTTTAAATTTATAAATGCTGCTTAAAATACAAACTCGTGTAATTTAGCTAAATATCAACACAGGGTTATTACTGTATATATAGTTGTAATTCATAAAAGCTTGTTTATAAGATTAAAAGTATATTTTTTAAACAAACTTTTGCTGCCAAACAGGTGTTAAACATAATGGTATTAAGTTTATTTCCATGTCAACATAGTAGGAAGTCTGACTCAGAGTTTATACACACACATATCGGTATTTTCTTGCGTAAAGTATGCAGCATGCTGTGCCGCATGTGACTCTACCCTTTGCCATGCAGGTCATTTCAAGGCCAAATACTTTATGTAATTGAGTAAAGTTGGAAGGTTGTCACTTTAAAAATCTAATGCAAACAACAGAGTGAAAAGTTTCTGAAGGTAAACAATGGGAGTATTGAAAACCTGCACTATGAATGTAGCCAAAGTTACACCAACATTTTACAATCTTTGCCTGATTTTTGTGAAAAATGCTTGCAAGAATAGATTGTATCAAAAATGACTAAATTATAAGTACCAATGAATGAAATAACTTTTTTACCTTCCCAGATGACCCCCCAACATGCTCATTTAAACCAAGCTATAGAGACAATAAACACTAACGACAGATTTTAGTTTCAGCAGAAGCACATTTTATTCGGAGGCACTTGACTGAAATAAAAACAAAAAATAAAAAACACATTTTTAGTTGGCTAGCAGGAAGTTGCTGTCATTGCTGCTGCCTTTTTGGAGCTCTGTGACCAAGTTGTGCAGTTTTTCTGAGAGCGCCACCTGGTGAGAGAAAAAAACAAAGTTTTAAAGTTTTTGAATATAGAAATCGCTTCAGAGTCTGCTATGTGACAAAGGAAATCTAAGCAGGGCTGTATCTGATGCAGACAAGATTCAAACTCACCATGTATGCGTCAGGCTCCTGCAGCTTCTTATGCCGGGGGTGCAAAGTCTGCAGGGAGCTCTGGACCTTTGCTCTAGTTTCTGCAGCGCTGCACAGAGGCTCTGTGACCTAGAATGAGGGAAACCGATTAGGTTCCTCCTCAGAATGGCTTTGCAACAATTAATGATTATAATAATTGTATTATATTAATTGTATGATTATATTAATCCAGATAATAAAAGATTTGCGAACAGATTTAATAATGATCATAAATACAGCAGTAAACATAGAATCTGATTAGATGATCAAATCTCATTAGTGACAGAAAAGTTAAACTATACATTAAATATTGTCTGGTTTGTGCATGTAGATGACTTGGTAAACTTTGCTCAATCCAAGAGCAGGATTCAAACATCTTCTTCTTTCATGAATTCCAGGTTTTAATTCTGTACTAATGTTTGTGAAATAATAACAGATTTAATTGTGTTTGCACAGGCTTTAAATCTGGATTCTGCACAAATATCAGCCTGCAAGGCAGAACGGACAAACAGGTGCAAGAATTTGAATTAGAGCAGATTTTTTAATTCAACATTTATCTAACCAGGGGGAGTTGTGTAAATAATATTCGATACACCAGCTTGACAAATCCTCTTTATCATATCAATTCAGAGACAGAAGTGGCCCTCCAATAGCTCTCTAATGTTAGTTATTTCTAGCTGGGCAGGACAACATATAAATGTAACAATAATTAATTGGGGGAATTTTAGAAAAAAGGCTTGGACAGCCTAAATCTGGACAGTTGGGAAGATTGATTTCACTCCAACAAGCACCATCATCCACTGTTCATAGAACCACGTGGACAAGGGATCATTTAGGAAACCTTTGTCAGGTTTACAGGGGTGGATAATCTGGGTCAAGAAAGTTAAAAGTCTGTACCCAGATTAGATCCAATGTTTGCATTTTCTGCTAAACAACACAGACTGGGAGCTAATCACGTGGTTGATTAATCAAGATGAAGGAAAACTAGCCAGGGTTTTAATTCCTGGACCTGGATCTACCTTACATCACTGCGCAAAAACTGGAACCTTGTATAAATATCAGGTTTGAGGATAAGTATTCAGGTGTTTTTTAGAGAGAAAGAACCATCCAACATGTCTCTGTGATGGTAATGAGCTGAAGCAGGTTTCCTGGTAAGGCTTATTTCTTCTTCTACAAGATGAATGTTTTTCTACCAAGACGATAGCAAACATGTTTTGCAATCCCAGGACATGGCTTAGGAGGATACAGTATAAATACTGGACTGGTTTGAGTGGTTCCCATCAGAGAATGTTTGGGAAGACTTGTCATCAATTATTTTTGGAAAGTGTTGTAATAAACCAACCTGTCCTCCTATGAAGACTTCCTTTCGCAGACAGGTCACCTGAGATGGAGTGACTGAAACAGGCAAGTTATCGCCCCCTAGAGGATAGCAAGTGAATGTACACCCCACCTCAGGAGGGGGCTCCACTTTAAGACACAGTAAGTCCAGAAAAGGATGACCTGCAGAGTCAAAAAAAAAAAAGAGAGAGAAACAGTGAGATGAGATTGGCACAAGGCTTTAAAAAAAAAAATAATTCCATTTGTCGTCACTGTTCACCACAGCAGAGCACAGTGGCAGCACCAGAGGAGTATGAGTGGAGGTGGGTGCAAGGTCCAATGGAATTTGACCCACCGAATGATAGTAATATAAAGTATTTACTGATCCCAGGCTATAATGTCTAAACATTGTGAAATGCATAAGACTAAACGTTTATCATACAAATAAACTGCATAATATTTAGCTGCTTCTAATGACAAATATACCTTAAGATCACGCGAAGTACATGCTATGCCATTTGCTATCCATTCTTGATGTTTAGTAATACATTTATTTATTTAAGCTGAGAAGGAAGAAATATTTTATCCAAGAATCCACCCAAAAATATTGGCAACACTTTTCAGGGATTGGTAAGACTGACGGCAAAATAATTGGTATCTACATCGGTAAAAAAAAAGCCAATCTCTGGTTTATATAATATTACATGTTATCCATATTTTTAAGAAAAAAATAAAAGAGTTAACTACTGGTACATTAGTGATCAGTTGCTGTGGTTCATTCAGAAGCTGCAGAAATAAGAAACAATGGGATGATCTATGGGTCATTTTAACTACTTTAGGATTCTTGGTGCTTATGCTGCAAAGATCTGATTTTTTTTTTTTTGACATCATGATGCAAATCCACCTATAGGCTGCCAGATAGGATCCCTACTGCTCTCTATCTGAGCTTTAGGTGCAACTGTAGCTCAGGTGAAAGTCCCTCTGCTTACCCTTGGCATGCTTATAAGCATAAACCTCAACCTCCTGTCTTGCTCGTTTAATGTAATTGATTGGCTATAACTTACAATCACTTTCTTGCTGCTTGCAGATAGTGCTTGTTCAGAATATTCATAATTCGACCAACCAAACTGCACATTGAAGAAGCAACAGTATGTATTTTACTAATAAACGGGCAGAGTTTGACTGACATGAGAGGAAACAGATCAGAAAAATCTGCCGCTATTTGAGCTGTCTTTGAATCGATAAAAAAACTAATCCCAAAACATGGATCAATAATCATCAACAGTAAAAGGGAAGCAGCCCCCTCCTGCCGCCGTAGTTTGCAGAGAGAGAGATGTAGGTCAGAGCCGGAGTATACCCGCTGAATCTCACCGTCAGCATCTAACAATCGGTACACGGCCTTCCTCCCTGCAACTGTGGTCTTCTTTGGTTCCTCACTGATCTTCATCCTCGGTCTTCCTCTCACCTCCACCAGCTTGGAACACAAACATCACAGTACAGATCTCAACGCGACTAAGCCCTCTGAACGTCTCCATTTCTGGTTTAAATAGTACCTTGTATACGCAGCCAAGAGATGGCTGTTTGGTGCAGGTGACCAGATGTGTTCCAACACCGACCACGTCGATCTCATTCGCCTGAAGCAAGAAATCACTAAAAATGAGGAACTTTTAAAAAGCAGATATTTAGCAGCAGGATGCTTTGGTCACCTTCTTGTTGAGTTCAGTCATGCTCTCCTCTGAGATGTTGTTTGTTCCTACGATGATCAGAGAATTAAAAGCTGATACGGAAAACCTGCAGATGTGAAACAAAGAAGAGGGAAGCAATGGATCCCTTAAGAGGTTTTAAATCACATCAAACAACAACAACAAAAAAAATATCCATGAACGCATCATGCAACTCACTCACTGCTCGCTGCAGAGAGTAAAAACCCGGCGAACTTCAATGGACTGGCTGCAGAGGTCTCCGCTGTCCAGACGGACCCCCACAGGCTTGTAACCCAGTTCACACAGCGTCAAGGCCACAGCACAGAAGTTTAACAGCCCACTACTGATAGACACACAGGGAAAAAAAAATTCAATTTTTTCAGTTGTTTTACAAAGTATGGTCAAATATTCTCAGGCAGACAGGTTCCATTTAGAGCGCTTCAACTAGGGACAGAATTCAGGGTTCTGAACCATTTTTTCTGAATATTTTTAGCATGTCCATCCTCCATCTTTTACTGCTCTGATTCCTTTACATACAAAAAAAAGATCAACTCCCCTTCGGCATCAATACAATATTTCTGAAAAAAGTTGAATAGAATATGCAAAATCCTAAAAACATGGAGGGACAGAGGCACGGGTGGTTCTAGACAGGGACCAAAGGGGGCCAGTGCTCCTGTAGACCATGTACTACTACGGAAGACAAAATACTCAAAGAAATTCTAATCATGGTATGTGCTGGAACAGACATGGTTACTGATAAGTTCTTGGAATCTATTTCATTTTTTTCCTTTACAAATTCTGTTTTACTAATTATTTAAAAAACAATAAGGTGATATCTTCAGTGATGTTTAGATAGGATCCCACATTTCATCTGCTAAATGTTTTTTTCAAAACAACAACGACAACAACAAAAATTCACTAATTTTTACTGGTGAATTCATCAGTTTTTCTTGAGTTCTAATTCAGATTTCATAGAAAACTGTAATTTTAACTTAAATTAAGTCAAAAATATGTAAAATTCCTAAATTATTCATGTATATTGACCTAATAATACATAGAATTTTAATTAAACCTAATTGAATAGAAATTTAACTTCATGCAGCTATCTTAATATATTTGAATCCCTTGTCCCCTTTTTTTTTCATGCTTTTCTGGGCCCCCATGGAAACAGGGGGGTCCCCTCCTGGCCCCCTGGTATATTTTTGTCTAGAACCGCCACTGGACAGAGGAAAGAGAATCTACAAGGAAAGAAAAGAGGACACAAAGAACTATAAGATCTAAGAAGAAACAAGCATGAAACAAGAAAGCCTATTATCTTTGGATGCATCCCTGCTGTCACACAATTTGAATGAAAAACAGTTAAAGGTAATGGTCTTTGAAAAAGCTGCTGATACAAATGTCAAAATTTACAGGACATGAGGACTGGGATTGTCTAACAGGACATTTATAGCTAGGTGCAATAGTAATGACTAACGGTCACAGTCAAGTTTCCTTAGACAACACGCAGAGGGAATGGATGGGTGGGATGTTGATAACATCCAACCATTCAAAAGCAGAAAACAGCTGAATAAAATCCCATCTGCAGATGTGAGGGCTTACCATTCCACGCTGTAGCTGTCAATCACAGGCAGGAAGTTATGAGGGTAGGCGATGGCGTAGGATAGAAAAGCCGCAAGCTCGCCCTCACGGATTTTCCCAGGCTCTGCTTCAAGGAGCTCACAGACTCGCCTTAACCAGCCTTTGGTCAGAGAAATCACATCGACTGGATCAGGGTCTCCGTTGGCTGTAACAAGCGTCTGAGTCGATACAAATACAGCAATGGCACAAAACGAGCAAAGATTAATCAGAGGAACTTTAATACAATTCAATTGGACAAAAGGAACCCTTTCTGAATGGTTTGATGATTGATTGGTTAATTAGCTCAAATGGTTTAAAGCTATGAGGAGGGGACATGTACCTACCTGTGGCCAAACCTCCTCTAAAGAACTGAAGGAAGTGACATAAGAATGTGCGATTGTCCCGGCAACAGGAATCCCAAAAAGGAAACCGGCCTGAACATTACTGGTGAGATCAAACCCTGGAAAACAGACCGCTGGGTGAGTCCTAGTAGTTGTTGGTTTTTGACAGGATGGGTACAGAGAAGGGACCGGCGTGTCCAATTACCTCCGATGTGCGTGTAGCGTGAGGCTGTAAGACCCCCGTCTGGTCCCTGGGCGCGGCGGAGCCCCATCTCCAGCAGCTTCCTCTTGTGTCCGGCCGCCAGGCGGAAACGAGCCGCATTACTGCACACCAGACTGAACAGAGGATAGAACGAGGAAGGAAGGAAGGAAGGAAGGAAGGAAGGAAGGAAGGAAGGAAGGAAGGAAGGAAGGAAGGAAGGAAGGAAGGTTTTATGGATGGATGGCTGATGGATAGATGGATGGATAATGGATGGGTGGATGAATGAATGAATGATGGATAGTTGATTTTAGGGGTGGATGAATAATTGATAGATGGATGGATGAATGGATGGATGAATGAATTAATGAATGAATGGATGAATGACTGGATGGATGGATTGTTTTATGGTTGGATGAATAATGGATAGATGGATGGATCATTGATGGATGATGCATGGGTGGATTGATGAATGAATAAATGATGGATGATTGAATGAATGAATTAATTAATGGATGATGGATGGGTGGATGAGCAGATGAATGAATGATGGAAGGATTGTTTTATGGCTGGATGGATGATGGATTGATGGATGAAGGAATGAATGAATGAAGCGATGGATGAATGGATGGATGGATGAATGAATTAATGAATTAATAAATGATGAAAGGATGGTTTTATGGCTGGATGGATGATGAATAGATAATGGATGGTTGGGTGGATGAATGAATGAATGAATTAATGGATGAATGAATGAATGAATGGATGAATGAATGAATGAATGAATGAATGAATGATGGTTTTATGGCTGAATGAATGGATGGATGAATGATTGATGGATGGATTAATGGATGGTTGGATGTCTTTACCTTGCATAATTAACCAGACACAGTAGACTGGTCTCCAGCAGCTGGACCACAGCCAGCGGTCCCTCCACCTCCATCAGAGGCACCTGTAGGTGTGAGAAACCCGTTTAGCTCTGACACCCCGTACTGCTGTGTTTTCAGGACCTAAACCCACCCTGGCAAACACCACAGAGCCCTCTGGGACGGAGCGCAGCGTCACAGCTGAACAGTCGAGGCCTCTCAGGAAGTCGAAGAAGGCGGGGTCGGTGTTGGGAGGGAGGACAGAGCGCAGGAACTCCACATCTGTATCCACAAAAACAGCTGGAGCTTCAGTATGACCTTCTCAGCCTAAATCACATGCTCTTATACAAATATGGGTGATCTGGCATAAAACTGAATCAGATGTGCAGCTAAACTAAACCAACAGGAAACTGTTGCTTTGCAAAAGTATTTATACCTTTTGATATTTTTTTTACACTTAACACCACAAGTCCATTGCATATAACTGGGATTAAATATGATACAGCCAAACAGGTAGTGAAAATGAAATTGAAAGTTAAGTTCTTCTTTTTACTCTGTGCATTTTTTATTTTTTTTTTTGCATGCTTTCTAAGGAAGAATTTCCCCTTCAAATAACTGGATATAACTGGTACTTAGGGTCAGGATAAGCAGAGCGACTAAATTAAACCAAAATCAAGATAAGCTCCTAATAAGGTCAGGATTATAATCTTTTTTTTTAAGTCGTACATTCCTGGTTATAAAGCATTAATAACAAAAGACAAACTAAAGTAAGAGGAGTTTCTGAGCATTTAAAGCTATTAGAACAAGATTGAATATATTTAGACAATGTTAACTTTTCAATGAGTCCTTTGTTTGTTTTGTTTTGTTTATTTAATCCTTCAATTATAGCCCCCATTCTTTCCAGTGATCCCTGGTTTACTTTCTATCGGATTAAAACAACAGATTATTGTTTTGGGAGGTCATTTGGTTGTAAAAAGCCTGTAAAACCAGGTGTGGTTTGATTTAGTGAGTTTTCTAAAGCCTTCAGCAGTGGTATTTATGCAGAGACACTCATTGACCTCAAACGGTGCGCTGTGGGTCTCCTATAGCTATCTACGGAAGAGGATTAGGGCCACTGAAAAAAACAAAAAAAGGTAACTGATTTTTTTTTTTTTTATTTCAGTATCAAATGAGAAAAAAGTCAGAATTTTGACTTTTTTCTCAGAATTCTGACTTTAATCTCAGAATTTTGGATCTTAATGTAGATGGGCACCATGAAGGAAGAGATGCGGTAGCACTCAGCTTTACTGAAAGATGTGAGTTGTTTGGGAGGGACAGTAACATATCCTGACATTACGTGATGCTATTTCATTAATAGAGAAGCAGAAGGTCATTAAAACAAGAGAGCTAGTCTCTAAAACAGACATGGCTACAGCTTGAAGCCAACATTTTTGTTAGCTGTCAGAATTCTGAGAAAAAAAAGTCAGAAATCTGAGAAAAAAAGTCAGAATTCAGAGATTAAAGTCAGAATTCTGAGGAAAAAGTCAGAATTCTGAGATTAAAGTCAGAATTCTGAGAAAAAAAAGTCAGAATTCAGAGATTAAAGTCAGAATTCTGAGATTTAAGTCAGAATTCAGAGAGTAAAGTCAGAATTCTGAGAAAAAAAGTCAGAATTCAGAGATTAAAGTCAGAATTCTGATTTTTTCCCACCCCATATTATACTGAAACATATTTAATAATCAGTTAACCTTTCTTTTTTTTCAGTGGCCCTAATCCTCTTCCGTACCTATCAGTCTGCACATTCTTCTGGGTTTTTAAGTTAAAGGTCAAAATCTGCAGAAACTTTGCTCTCTGGATATCTCGTTTCCTTAAACTCCGGATCCAGAACCGTGGAGGTTCAGATGTTCTGGTAACATTAAAGTAAAGAAGCAGAACTGACCTCCGTCTGTTAGGCGAAAGCTCCGCAGGAACAGGAGGCAGTCCTGCAGCCCAGCGAACAGCGAGAAGCCTCCGCCGAAGGGGTTTTCTCTGAAGAACAGCTCGAAGACAGCGGGCTCCTGGTGCCGGTCGGCCCGCCAGTAAGCGTAGGCCATGGTGAACTGGTAGAGGTCGGTGAGCAGAGGAGGGAACCGGTCCCGGACGGAGCGCTCCAAGAGCCCGCATGACTGAGCGGACAGAGCTGCCATGTTCTCCAGCAGGCAGGCAGAGCTGCTGCTGCTGCTGCTGGGATATCTGGGACTTGCAGTTCTATAAACACCCACTGATCCCTGCACCTGCAACACTACTTTATACCCAAGAGTATTAAAAATGTATATTAAACTACTTTAACACAAATCGGTGGTTATTCACTTTATTGAGATAGAATACTTTAAAATGTATCTCACCTGGAAATGGAAACAACCTCTTTGAGCACGTGACAAAAATATCCTTAACCTTTTCATGTCATGTAACTTCTCCATTTGCTGTTTACAAGACTTTTATTCTGAAATGAGTTATTCAATTATTTGATTTCACAAAAAATATGAAAAACACAATTTAAAAAGCAATTAACTGAAAACATATTGGTTGCTTTACTGAAATACCCATCGCTTTAGACATATTTTCTTTTATTTTAATCAACTCAATAAAAAAAAAAACTCATTGTGT